AGATCTGCGCCCTGTTAGTATATTACCAACGTTGATTAAAGTCTTAGAAAAAATTGTTAATAAGCAGCTTAGAGAATTTTTAATTGAATATAACATTCTGTCTGATGGACAGTCGGGCTTTATGCCTGGTCGCAGTTGTGCCACTACCTTATTAAATGTTACTGATGATATAATAAGGGCTAGGGATGAAATAAATTCACTATATTAGTGCTTTTGGACTTTAGTGAGGCTTTTGACACTGTCAACCATTCTATTTTGTTAGCTATATTACGCAATATATATATACGGCGACAATTAGTGCGAGTGGGAGGCGAGGTCACTGAGGTTTCAGACTTTATGAATATAACTAGAGGTGTACCGCAGGGCTCCATTTTAGGACCTTTATTATTTTGCATATACACTGCTTTTATGCCTAAATGTGTTAAAAATTGTCAGATACAAATGTATGCGGATGATACACAAGTATATTTGCATTTTGCCCCAGAATTTATTACTGCTATGGCAAAGGTTAATGAGGACTTAACTAGTTTGAATACATTTTCAGTTGCTCATTCTGTAAAGTTAAATCCTTCATAAAGTGTTGTGTTACTATTTGGTAATGAGAAGAAGGTTGAACACCTATGTCAAAATATTGACATTAATATTAATGATCTTTCAATTCCTTTTGTTGATGAAGCTAAAAATCCTGGGCAATTGATGGAAAATTCCTTCAGATATCGACCTTATATATCTAAAATAATTGGTGTTGCCTTCTGTAAATTGAAGGTTTTATACATGGTGCCTCAGCGAGACCGGTCATTAGACGTTTCTGGGGTTCTGGCCAAAATAAAAATTTGAGAATTCAGACTTAAGTATTATCAATTACGATCTCTTCGACTAAAATATTTTCAGATTTCTTACACTTCCGGTTATACCGGAAGTCGCCACCTATTTTGTTTTTTTAAATGAAACACCTGTATATTTTTACATATTTGGATTTGTCTGTTTTGAAGGTTTATAAATAACTTTACTTTTTGCAATTTCATTCGGCCGTTCTCGAGTTATTCGAATTTTTCTAGAAAAATCTGCTCCAGCAGACATTTGTTCAAAAGATCAGAGAACACTCGATTTTTGGGATATCAATTTAGGATACAGAACACGCTTAAAACATGATGGAGTATGTTTTGGTACCGAGAACGGCTGTCTAGAACGTTTGGTCATTTTATTATGGCACGTTAAGTTTTTACCATAACTTCATTTTTTTAAATGGTACCCCCCATATTTTATTACTTAGTGGTCTTCGGTGTCTCATTCTACATCTTTTATATCCCATATGTCCCATACCTATCATTAATAGTTTGGGAGATAATTAGGGTTTTTTGAAAAATGCACACATATCATATGGATATTTAGCCTAGTGTGCCATGAAAAACAAGCCTTCTCAATGAGTTCTTGTCAAAGACTCACTTGTTTACGTCACTTGATGCATGTGAGCTAATAATTATCTGTTAGGTCCCAAATATTAGTACTGAAATGAATTAAAATCGATAACAATAACGAAAGTAATATTTACACAAATCAAGAAATTCTTAATTGATTTTTTATGCATGAAAAGTGCGACAAAGTTCGTAGTATGATTCCCAGATCTTCTTTGGCAGCTCGAATTGAGGTGTTGGGACTGGGCTCGAAATAAGCCATTATCTACTACATTTTTTGGTCAGTGATTAATTCGTCCAAAATGCAAAAAAATTGCTTCTATAAGTACGAAGGCTTTCACGGCCGGTGTGAATTAAACTAAAATTAGAACTAAAACTAGAACTAACACTAGAAACTTTCAGGTTTTGCAGTGCGTCTTTTAATAAAAGGTTTGACGTTTCGGATGCCATGTTGCAACCTTCTTCAGAAACTAGTTCGAAGTCACTTCGAATAAGTTTCAAACCTTTTATTAAAAGACGCACGGCAAAACCCGAAAGTTTCTAGTGTTAGTTCTAGTGTTAGTTCAAATTTTAGTTTAATTTGCTTCTATTCTTCTAAATTTACCTTTTGTCATCGGAGGTAAATGTGGATAACTTTCAATAAACATTCTGCAAGTTCTACTAAGAACATTGTCGCACTTTTCGTGCACAAAAAAAAATTATGGATTTCTTCATTTGTATAAACATTATTTACGTTATTAACATCCATTTTAACTGGTTTTAGACTCACAAGCATCAAACAATGTAAATCAGACTTTGACGTTTGTCAATAAGTCATTAAACATTTGTTTTCCATGGCACACTAGGTTAATATCGATATATGTGAACATTTTTCAAAAAACGATAATTATTTCTCAAACTATTAATGTTAGGCGTAGGACATATGGAGTATAAAAGATGTAAAATAAGACGCCGAAGACGACTAAGTAATAAAATATTTTTCGAATATATATTTCGAAAAGTTAACGTGTCATAGTAAAGTGACCAAACGATCTAGACAGCCGTTCTCGGTACCAAAACATACTCCATCATGTTATTTAAGCATGTTCTGAATCCTAAATTGATATCTCAAAAATCGAGTGTTCTATGATTTTTTGAACAAATGTCCGCTGGAGCAGATTTTTCTAGAAAAATTGGAATAACTCGAGAACGGCCGAATCAAATTGCAAAAAGTAAANGATCTCCTCTCCCCGATCTCCCTCATAGCCTCCCAAACCCGTTAGCCTCGTTTCAACCCCTCCCAATAATCCCATAAAGTAACTCTTCCATTCTGTCATGTGTATTTCGCTGGTTATCCTCTCCCTACCCTTCTTTCTCTTTTTCAGATACCTCCAGACCTCCCCTTCCCTTGTTATCCCTCTAATCTCTGCCGCCCCCTTCTCCCTCAGTTCTGTTTTCTTTCTCCTGCATAGCTCTCTGTATCCTCTCCTGGCCTCCCTATATCTATCCACCCCATATCTTCCCCCGTCTCCACTGCCTCAACCCCCTTCTCGCCTCCCTACTCTGCCCCCCCTACGTACACACTCCCTTTTCAGTGTTGCCTCCCGCACTACCTGTATAAGTTCTTCCAAACCATTGATGTCTTGTATCTTCTGTTGCCAAGTGTCGAGGTTTCTCCTGTAGAATGCTACCCCTTCTTCCGACCAGTCTATCCTGATGAACTTGCTCCCCAGTTCCGCTTGCCTTCTGCCGTCCACCCCCTTTACCTCTACCTCCAACGGTTGGTGATCCGACTCTACCGCTTCTCCCACTTTAAACCTTTCCACCCTCTCCCACATTTCCTGATCCACCAGTACATAATCAATCACAGATGTCCCTCATATGGAGGGACATAATAATGTATAAAGGATGTAAAATGAGACGCCGAAGACGACTAAGTAATAAAATATGGGGGCCAAATTTCGAAAAGTTAAAGTGTCATACTAAAGTGACCAAACGATCTAGACAGCCGTTCTCAGTACCAAAACATACTCCATCATGTTATTTAAGCATGTTCTGAATCCTAAATTGATATCTCAAAAATCGAGTGTTCTATGATTTTTTGAACAAATGTCCGCTGGAGCAGATTTTTCTAGAAAAATTGGAATAACTCGAGAACGGCCGAATCAAATTGCAAAAAGTAAAGTTATTTATAAACCTTCAAAACAGACAAATCCAAATATGTAAAAATATAGAGGGTGTTCCATTTAAAAAAATAAAGTAGGTGGCGACTTCCGGTATAACCGGAAGTTCTAGAAATCTGAAAATATTTTAGATGAAGAGAACGTAATTGATAATACTTAAGTCTGAATTCTCAAATTTTTATTTTGGCCAGAACCCCAGAAACGTCTAATGACCGGTCTCGCTGAGACACCCTGTATACTTTTAGAGCTGTTCTCAGTATTGCTATGAAGAAAATGCTTTGTCAGTGTTTGATTTTGTCACTGCTTAACTACTATGCGCCGGTATATGGGCCCTATGTTGATGCTTTTACCGCGAATAGGATCCAACGATTGCAAAACGCTTGCATTAGATTTATTTACGGCATTCGTAAATATGATAGAGTCTTCTCCTATCGTTTAGTAGACCTAAATTAGTTAAATATGCGTGGTCGTTATTTGCTTTCATCTCTCTGTTTCTTTCACCGATTGCTGAGTACCGGTAATCCGCCATATTTGCTGAGGAAGATTAGATTTCGTGGTGACATTCATTCCGTCAATATCCGAAACCGAAATTTAATTGCTCTACCACTTTTTTTGAAAGATCTTTTACTTATAATATTTATTCGCTTTATGGTTCCGTTCCGGAGAGTTTACGAGGTTTGAGTACAGTGGCGTTCAGGCGCGCCATGTTTCGGAATTTGTTTGAGGAGCAGTCTTAATGATTATGAGCGTTTTGTAATTTTAAGCACATGCGTACATTATTGAATGAACTGTTTTATATTTTGCTTTTATTTTGATTTTTTTTCCTTTATATTTTTAGGCTTGTAATTAATATATTTAGCATAGCTGTGGTCAAGGGATATTTGTAAACCAGAGAGTGGTTTTACCACTCACCTGAACTATCCCTTGTGGCTCACCTACATGATTATGTTAATATTCAGAATTTATTATTACTTTTTTTTTATTATTATTTTATTTGTTATTAGTTATTATTGATTGTTTTCTTTCTTCTTATTATTGATGGGTGAATAAAAGTATTATTATTATTATTATTATTACTACTCAAACAAAATTGTTTTATGTTGTAATTTCGCTTTAAAATAACACTTGCATTGCACTTGCATTTCAAAAAGATTAGATAACTATTTGATAAAAAACACTGATGCAAACCGGAAATTATGTAATTTTAAACCCACAAAGAATTAATCACTAGCAACTAACAAAACATAATTAAATAAAACTTGTAAAAATGACAGTTTGTATAAGTAATTTATCTAGAAATACACTAATTGTGTATGTTATCTATGTTTATTAAAGAGATAACAAGATTATTTTAAGGATAATTTCTGTCAAAATCCATATTAATTTTGATTAATTACCTATAAAATACAAAAAAAAAGCTTACCTGAAAATCTTTAATTCCTCCTTTTATTCCTTGAAGTGTAAAATTGATATCGCAATCGCCAGCATAGCTACAAAAAATAATATTAAAAAAGTTTAAAGTTTCATAAATTTGAAGGGTTATACAATAAATCTAAATCCATGATAATTTCACTTCTTGGCACGTTAGCATCATAGACTTTAATTCCTCCAATTCTGGGTGGCTATAATAAAATTAATTTGTATCATAAGCAATGACTACAATTGTTAAAGAAATAAAGTTTATATAACTTACCACACTTCCTAGAATAATACGTTCGAATTTAAACGCCCCAAATTTGTCTAAATTCTTAGCTAAAATGTGTTGAATTTTATCCCTGATTAATTCACGAACATAATGGTTAACATTTGGCCAACATTGTTTGAAAATCTTAAAAGGAATAAAAATAAAATAGAATTAGTAAGATTAGAAATAAAAATGTATTACCTTATTAATCCATTCAGCTCTTTCTACATCTGGAAAATAAACCTAAACCGAAACAAAAAATTGTCTTTACAGATTTTAAATAATTCTTTTCATTCTTACCCAAGCTGGTAAATCATCAATTCTAGCTAAAATAACATCTTTTTCATTAGTTAAAGCTGAAGCTTTAGCAATATCTCTTCTTCTTTCTGATTCTTTTTTATATTGATCTCTGATTACCAAAAGAGCTACAGGACCAATTAACCAAGCTACTGACCATTGTAAATAACCAGCAAGATAAACAAATCCAACTACAGAAGCCTGAAATAACAAAAAAGAATTTTGATTAACATCAAAAATTAAATTGTTAAATATAAATGTATTTATATAATTGAATCACCCTGTAAATCCTAGAACAATTCCATGGGAAAATTATACAATATTTATTTAATGATAACATTAATACAACGTAAACACTAATATTACCTTTTTTAAAATGGAATAAACGGTGCCTTTCAAACTTATTCCAGCCACACGCTTTTCACCAACATCTTTATTATCATCCTTTTTGTTCTCCTCATTCATAATGATTGTTTTAATTTATTTCTTTTATTCAATGAATCGACCTGAATCAATAAATTGATTGAAAACGAGGTGGTCGTAAATCAATTAGAATGGAATTAAAAGGTATTTTAAAAAAACCTTTAAACACCCCAATGTATGATTTATAACCCCTTTTTTTATTAAACAACCCTGATATTTTCTTGTTGCAATCACGGTTAATCTAACGTAAACAATTTGACTACTTTCTGTCGCCAAATAACCCGCACTGTTGTTATTACAGCTGATGTCATACCTTTATAAATAGAAGCTTATATCGACAAAGTTGCTTTTTTTAGTTTTGGTGTTTATCTTGGATTTGATTATAACATGTGGATTAAAAACCCCTGGAAGGTAGACAACCAAAATTACAACGATATAAATTAAGTTGACAACAATAATTTATAATAAAAAATTGTTATATTTTGAATGTTGTGATAATGTTATATCATACATTTATTCAATTAAGGTATTATTTAACTAATCAGAAAAGGCAACGAGGATCAATATTTTTCGGGAAGAAGATATTGTAAAAATGTTGTTGCTGACCGAGCAACTTATTTAGTTAGAAATGTAAATGAACTGTTTTGAGATAAATTGTAAAGTAACACTCGTAAAATAATAGAAATGAATCGTGAAATTGAATATGTTTATTGTCCAGTTAATAAATTGTTTTTCGTAACATTAACATTCATACAAGGTGAGTCAAACAGAATAGGATCCATAATCCTTTTACCCATTAAATTGTGACAAATTAAGGTAAAAATTAAAAAAAAAAAATTATTTTATGAAAAAGCAGAGTTTGTTATTTCATTTGTCTGTCTTTCTAAAAATTTTCTAAAAACATTGAACATCAGTCCACAGATATTGAATAGCTTTGCCTTTTGCCAAGTTTACGTAACGTTTTTGTATAATGGTTAAAGAACATTTTATGGTTCGGTTGCAAACTAGATTTTAACATCAATTCACTTAAATCCTGCGATTTAGATTTTAACTTATTTGTCCTACAGACAATCAAGTAGCTGTTAGGACAATCACAGCATCTGCTACAAATAGAGCTTTTAATATCATATTTGATATGTCCTTTTTGTGCCAGCAGGTGTGAATGACTAATTTACAGGGTTATGATATGGATAGTTTTCTGCCATAATATAGGTCAATAAAGTGAATGACTTTTCCATTGATGAAACTGCGGACATAGTTAATAGACTTTTATGCGATGTCGATGGAATTCAGGCAGACATTTTAGGATTTACTATTACTATATTGATAAGAATCAAGATGTATATTCTGTAACTTGACATCATTCTTGCCAATATATTGAGTTATGTTGTTTTACTGTGTGCACGTAGGGGAGTAGATTGCGCCGCAATTGACTTAGAGGAATCAAATCTTCAGTGTAGTACTCAGTGTTTGGGTTGGTATATGTCACGTGTGCCATAATATTATACCAGCACTTCTCCAAGATGTTGGGGTAGGCATTTACCCAAGCATTGCATAGTATAGCGGCATAGAGCAGACATACAGCGCTCTTCAAGTTAATGGTTTTTAATAACTTAACACCGTATTTCCGATAAAATAATTTTGTCAGTCTAATGGCATTTCGGCCCATAGGCTGCAAAAGTGCAATACAATTTGGTGGAAGAACTAATGTTGTAAATTGTCCATTCGCATTAGTCAGCAACATGCTAGAAAGGTAAATTGAGAATCCCTCACCATCGATTTCGTTTGACATCTACTTCGTCTGTTCGCTCGCGGTCTCCACTCAAGCAACCGTTTTGTCCACCGCTCATTCTTCATTCGCGCGACATGACCCGCCCAATTCCACTTAAGCTTTGCCGCAATGTTGACCACATCATTTACGTCAGTTCTTCTTCATAGGTCTTCATTTCGTATGTAGTCCCTAAGAGTTAAACCCAGGATCGACCTCTCCATCTATCTTTGCGTTACTTAGATCCTCCTGGCAGTGGCTACCGTTAATGTTAAAGTTTCGGACCCTTATGTCATAACCGGAAACACGCATTGATTGAAAGCCTTTCTTGGCCGTTTCTCTTGAAAATGTCTCTAAGTTTCCCGTAGGATGCCCAAACGAGTGTTATCCTTCTGTTTAGTTCGCTTGTTTGACTATAAAAGTGCTTTTTATAGCAGATAATGTTTAATTTTAAAGAAACTTTGATCCGCTTTATCTCGCCAACGAGGCATTTTCGACCCCATGTATATTAAGACTTTTCATCTTAATTTTTGATGTATTACCTGCCCTAGAAGTCTGTCAGCGGTTTTTTGAATCAGCCTGTATACAGGAAACCTGTCCCGAAACTCTACGTCAAGCGGGCACCGGATGAGAAGCCAACCCATACCTGTTCTGGTAAAAATAAGAAAAAAATATCTATGTCTCTTAGTTAAGTGGTAATAGACATATTTTTGAAAATGTTAAATATCGTTCCCGTACATCATATCTTTAGGTACTACGGTCGGAAATGTTCGCAATTTAATAGTGATTTTTTTAATAATGTATTCCTCATGAACCATGCTACTATAGCAGTCACAAATCGAATAACAAAACTCGTTAGTTTTGCAAGAAAAAGTATCAGTTTGATTGAGTTAAGATTGAAAGAATTTATGTCTACTAAGTTTGACACACAATTTCTAAACAAAGGACTAGTACAACACCCTTGGCAAGTTATTTTAAAAGATGGTTTTCAAAAATATGTCTATTACTACTTAACTAAGAGACATGGAGTTTTTTCTCATTTTTACCAGAACAGGTATGGATTGGCCTCTCACCCGGTGCCCGCTTGACGTTGAGTTTCGGAACATCCTGTATTTATGTATAAAATATACAGTATCCCCATTATCGAGTTACAAAGAGGAAAAAAAAATTTATTACTGATTTTTTAAACTTATGTCAGCATAAATAATGCGTCGGATAAGTTCAAACCACTAAATCGCACGAACTTTATATTCTAACTATAGAAGTTAACTAATTATTCCCATTTTTATGTAAAAATTATACTACTTTTCCTAAATTAAAAATTTTTCAAGTTCAACTTACGATATGTAACCATAGAAACCAATAAAATAAAATAAAAGTTACAACTTTTAAAAATCACTAACAAAATTTTTTTTCCTCTTTGTAACTCGATCCGGGGATATACTGTATACAGAGTGTCCCGTTAAGCGTACGGAGCGGCTGTATCTCTAGAACGTTAAGGCCTAGAGGTTTGGGAAAAAATCCTTATAAGCAAAGTGACCAAGAGAAATAGCTGGAAATTATTTTGAAGTTCGTAATTCGACCGCTAGGGGGCGTAACTGCCATTGAGAAACATTAAGTTCCCGCTATCTCAGAAACTTAGACGATGAGCTATAACTTTGACAACATCATTTAATAGCTTGGATAATACCGCATCGCTTTTGTTTTGCGATATTTCTCATATCTGTCATAATAAGGGAGGGGGAGGCCAATGCGTTTTCATATGTTTACATTTTAATATCTCCTAGACCATTCAACCGATTTGAACATTTTCGGTGTTGTTTGAAAGAGCATTTTATGCTCTTTTTAAAGATATTTTCAGTAAGACCGTTTGCTTTAAAACAAATGAGCTAGAGGGCGTTATCTGCAGCGATTACATATTTTTGTGATTTTTGAAGAAAAGTTAAATGGAACGATACTATTTACTTCACAGACCCTTAGTCACCTTAAAATTTGCTAAATTTTAGTGAAAACCGCATCTCGATATCGCCACCCGTTCTCGAGTTATAGAAAAAAATGTTAAAAACTCGAGTGCCATCAATCGGATCCAGTTACCTCATCGACAAAAACAAATCACATAACCATGGTAACTGTAAACATGTCATTTACTAACGCAGAAGCGTATGATAGAGCGTATGATGATTTATTTTCAATGTTTTGAATACGATGCAACTGCATGGCAAAAATGTGCAATGCAATTACGACAAAGAAAGACTTTTTTCTCTAGAAGTGTTTTTAGATTGACTTAGCGATTACAGAAAACTGGCAACGTGTAGCCCATTCAGACATCTCTATGAATTCGTAAATCACATTGGTGTGCAATGTGATCCCACACAATTTAGGAACTCCGAAAACAATTGTCCACAATATTTCTCAAGAGAATAATATCTCCACCACGTTGTTTTACATCAGGCCTGAACAGATACCGATTATGATAACAGACTGAACTATTACCATTGACTTTTAAATATGATTTGGGCAAATCCAAACCTTTTATCACAAATGCTATGGATGCATGAAGCATCTGTCCACAAGCTGATGTAAACTTGCATAATATGCATTCTTGGTTCGAGCAAAACCCACATTGCTTTCAC